GTCAAAATGACTAAGATCAAAAACACTGAAGACAGCTTATGTTGGAGATGATGTGGAGCAAGGGGAACAACCCTCCATTGTTGGTGGGAATGCAAACTTGTACAGTCACTTTGGAAATCAGTATGGCAGTTTCTCAGAAAATTGAGAATAAGTCTTCTTCAAGGACCAGCTATATAACTCTTGGGCATATACCCAAGGAATGTTCAATCTTACCACAAGGACACATGCTCAACTATATTCATATCAGCATTATTTGTAATAGCAAGAACCTAGATAACCCTCAACTGAAGAATGCATAAAGAAAATGTGGTACATATACACAATGAAATACTACTCAGCAGTAAAAACACACACACACACACACACACACACACACACACAATGATATCATGAAATTTGCAGGCAAATGGATGGAACTAGAAAATATCATCCTGAGTGAGGTAATCCAGACTCATAAATACAAACATAGTATATACTCACTCATAAGTGGATACTAGATGTAAGACAAGGGATAACCAAACTACATCCCACAGCTCCAGAGAAGCTAGCTAACAAGGAGGGACGCTAAGAGAGAGACATAGATATCCCAGGGAAAGAGAAATAGATGAAATCTACATGAGCAAACTGGGAGTGGGGGGTGATAATGGAGGGTAAAGAATGGGGGATGACAACATAAGGAAACGGGTGGATCAAGCTGGAACAGGAACAGATTGGGAGAGCAAGGAAAGAGATACCATGATAAATGAAGACATCATGGGAATAGGAAAAGGCAGAGTGCTGAAGAAGCACTCAGGAATCCACAAGGATGACCCCACCTTGGACTACTGGCAATGACTGAGAAGGTAACCTGGTCTGGTCTACTCTGGTGACCAGTCTAGTGAATACCCTGTCATCATAGAGCCTTTATCTAGTGACTGATGGAAGCAGATGCAGAGATCCACGGCACCAGGCTGAGCGAAGGAATCCAATTGAATGCAGAGAGGAGGGATTCTGTGGGCAGGGGATATCAAGATCATGACAGAAAAATGTGCAGAGGTGACTAGCCACACTATTGGAAACCCATGAACTGTGGACTAATATCCATGGAACCACCATAGGACTAGACTAGGCCCTCTGAATATGGGAGACAGTTGTTGAGCGTGAACTGTTTAGGGGACACCAGACAGAGGTATCAGGATCTGCTCCCTGGGGCATGGGTAGGCTTTTTGGAGCCCAGTGCCTAGGGTGTGACACCTTCAACAGTCTTGGTGCAGCTGGGAGGGGCTGGGAGCTGCCTCAGCTGAGTATGCCAGGCTCTGCTGACTCCCCATGGGAGACCTTGATTTGGAAAATATGGGAATTGGGGGAGTGGCCTGGGAGGGAAGGCTAGGGGATGGGAAGAAGGAAGAGGTGGGAATCTGTGGTTGGTGTGTAAAGTAAATAGAAAATGTCTTAATAAAAATGAAAAGAAAAAACAAAAAAATGATGGTACTTAGTTTAGAAAACTCTCTTACCAACTCTTTATGACTCAGGTCTCATTACATACCACATTCTTGCCTGTAACTAATAATGCTCCTGCCTCAGCTTCCTGAAGGTAGGAGTGCAGCCATATGCCCTATGCTCAGTCATTGTAGCAATTAAAAAGCAATAAAGCTAAATACAAACATAAAAAACCAAGTAATATCCCAAATGATTGTTTTGAATACTACTGCGTGCAAGAGTGTCTTGGAAAAGCTGGGGGAAAAATATCCTAAAGTGGGACTGTGGATGGCTCAGGTCATAAGTTTGATCTCCAGCACCTAAGAAACTGAGTTGGTGATATGATTCAATCATCTCAGCATTCAGAAGGTAGAGGCAGGGGCATCAGAAATTCAAGGTCATCTTTGACTACCTAGTGAATTAGAGGCTTAGGAGGCTTAGAAAAAATAACAAGCAAAAGGAATATAATACAGAAGAATCAGGGGAGGCTGATAAATAATGAAAAATCTATTATTTACACATTAACGCACTCAACAACCACACCTACCTAGACAACACTTTAGGAACCAAGGATATACAAAAGAATCAAGAATCGCCCCTGGCCTTTGGAGCACATACATTACAGCCAGTACTTGAGTATTTCAGTCTGCTACAAATAAGAAAGACAGACACACAGAGGTGATATAAAAGGAGAAAAACAGAGGTACTGCAAGTATACACAGAGAAAAGTGGTGGCCATCTATATGAGACTATAAGAAACAACCCTTATCAAAGACTTCACACAAGCTTGTAAAGCTGCTTCGGGATTTCAGAGATTCCTATCCCACATCCAGCACTTACCCTGAAGCCACAAGTTCAGATGGTGGGGCAGTGAATTCAGACAGGTTACCAATAGAGAGGTCAAAGATGGAGAAGCTGCCCCCCACTATTACATCTCCAGGACGATCAAAGCGAGGCCTCTGACTTGGCAACAGCCAGGCTCTTGGTGCAGAAAAGGCAGACCCAGAGAGACAGCCAAAGAGAACAGGAAGGAGAGTACACAGCCACATGCCTGCTGGGGGCCAGACAGCCAGTGACAGGACAGTCCCACATGGGGCAGTGGCTAGCAGTGAAGGGGGCTTTTATCTGGGAGATGCCCTTGATTGAGGACCTCAGGCTAAAACCTACTGGGAGCCTGGGCTTTCAGCTGTGGGGAGAATATTGATTGTGAGGTGGTGGAGGTGGGTGGCCACTAAATCCCAGAGACATGAAAAGTTTTATCCCCTTCTCCTGAGGGTTCGTGGCCTCTCTGCATCCAAGGTCACAGCTCTGCGCATCATCTGCAGACTACAGGAAAGGCAACAACAGGTCTGACTGTCTCCTGGGGGACTTTCAATTGCAGGATCATCTGTCCTCGGGGCACTGTTCTGCAGAGAGACCCAAGTAGGTACAAGAAACAAACAGCCCAGTGGCTGAAGTAAAATATTTCTTTCATACTCTATGTTCTGGGTGATCTTTGCTGTTCCTTAAAGAATTTTTAGAGTAGTTTAGCATGGAAAATTTGGACATACAAACAAACAACCAGTAGAAAACAACAAATATCCATGTCTTTGTAGAGTCATGAGAAATCCTCCCAAGGGACGGACCTTTTTTCTGTCATTTGAAAACACATCCTAAGGCTGCCACGATGGTTTTTCAGGTAAAAATCACTTGATACACAAACCTGATGACCAGTGTGTGATCCTAAGAACCCACATAGAGGTAGGAGAGGACCAACTCTACAAAGTTATCCTCTGACTCCACACACAAGCCATGGCACACACATACACACACATACACAAAAACACACACTAACACACATACACACACACGCACACACAATTTATACATACAAAAAAGATATATTCAGGTAAGAAGACAAATTCTCAACTCTGTTACTCCAACAGATGAGTATAATTTTCTAACATAATCATAATTCCCACACTGAAGCCTAAAATGAAGCCAAATCGATTGCTCAGCACCTTAGCAAGTAAAGGCAGCCTGATGACCTCATTAAATCTACAGGTTGTAGGTGATGAGAGAAAAGAACTGACTTCTCAAACTTATCCTCTGACCTCCACATAGTGCTTTGGCACTGCATGTCCAAAAACATAGATGGGAACATGCACACACAACTCTATCAATCAATAAATGTATAAAATTAAAAACAGATCAATAAAAACCAGCAATACTCCAGTTCACTGATATTTCAGCCTATGCTTATTGAACTTTCACTTTCAATAGTTTGATCTTTGCTTAGATATCAGGATATAATGGGAGTTCACACTCTTTAATTGATAGATAATTCTCTTTTAGCTTTTTTTCTTTTTTTATTAAGAGACTTTCTATTCATTTTACATATCAACCATAGATTTCCCCTGTCCTACCTCCTCCTACCCCCAAGGCTTTCCCCCTAACCCACCTCCTATTCCCACTGCCTCCAAGACAAGGTTTACCATGGGGAGTCAGCAGAGCCTGGTACATTCAGCTGAGGCAGATCCAAGCCCCTCCTCCCTGTACCAAGGCTATACAAAGTGTCTTACCATAAGCACTAGGTTCCAAAAAGCTGGCTCATGCACTAAAGACAGGTCTCAGTCTCACTGCCTCAGGGCCCCCTAAACAGTTGAAGCTAAACAATTGTCTCACTTATCCAGAGGGCCTAGCTCAGTGCCATGGGGCTCCTCAGCTATTGGTCCACAGTTCATGTGTTTCCACTAGTTTGGCTAGTTGTCTCTGTACTTTTTCTAATCATGGTCTCGATATCTCTTGCTCATAGCATCCCTCCTCTCTCTCTCATTGATTGGACTCTGGGAGCTCCACCTGAGACTGGGCCATAGATCTCTGCATCTATTTTCATCAATCACTGGATGAGGGTTCTATGATGTCAGTTAGGGTATTCTGCCATCCGATCACCAGAGTAGGTCAGCTCAGGCACTCTCTTGACCATTGCCAGTAGTCTATGATGGAGTCATCTTTGTGGATTCCTGGGGACCTCCCCAGCACTCTGCTTCTCCCTAGCCCCATGGTGCCTTCATTTATTATAGTATCTCTTTTCTTTGTTCTCCCACTCTGTTCCTGATCGAGCTTGAACCTTCCGCTCTCCTAAGCTCTCATTCCCCCATCCCTTGTCCTCCATTACCCACCCTTACCCCCAGTTTGCTCATGTAGATCTCATCCATTTCTCATCTCTGGGCGATCCCTATGTTTCTCTGGAGCTGTGGGTTGCAGTGCAGTTATCCTTTATGCATGTTGACAGATATGGATCTATTTGCAATCTTCTACATGTTGACATCTAGTTATAGCAGTACCATTTGTTGAAGATGCTTTCTTTTTTCCATTGTACAGTTTTGGCTTCTTTATCAAAAATTAGGTGTTCATACATGTGCGGATTAATGTCAGGGTGTTCAGTTTAGTTCCATTGGTCCACATATCAGTTTTTATGCCACTATCAAGCTGTTTTTATTACTGTAGCTCTATAGTAGAGCTTGAAGTCAGAGATCATGATGTCTCCAGAGGTTGCTTTATTGTATATGAATCTTTTAGCTATCTGTAGTGGTATTGTGTTCCCCAAAATATTGTGTGCCCTAATAAACTTATCTAGGGTCAGAGAACAGAAAAGCCACTAGATGCTTAGGATAGGCAGTGGTAACACATGCCTTTAATACTAGCATTCCAGAGGCAGAAATCCATCTGTTCAAGGATACAGCCAAGCATGGTGACTCACACCTTTAATCCCAGAAATTGAGCCTTTAATCCCAGGGAGTGATGACAGAAAGCAGAAAGGTATATAAGGCGTGAAGTCCAGAAACTAGAAGAATTTTGGCTGGTTAAGCTTTTAGGTTTTGAGCAGCACAGTTCAGCTGAGAGCCATTTGGATATGAGGACACAGAGGCTTCCAGGATGAGGAAACAAAATCAGCTGAGAAGTTGGCCAGGTGAGGTTAGCTGTGGCTTGTTCTGTCTCTCTGATCTTCCAATAACTGACCTCAGGTTTGATTTTATTAATAAGACCTTCTAAGATTCCTGCTACAGCTATCCTGGGTTTTTTGTTTTTCCATATGAAGTTGAGTATTGTTCTTTCAAGGTCTGTGAAGAATTGTGTTGGGATTTTGATGGGGATTGCATTGAATCTGCAGATTGCTTTTGGTAAGATTGCCATTTTTACTATGTTAATCCTACCTATCAATGAGCATGGGAGATCTTTCCATTTTCTGATATCTTTTCAAATTCTTTCTTCAGAGACTTAGAGTTCTTGTCATACAGGTCCTTCACTTGCTTAGTTACAGTTACCCCAGGTATTTTATATTATTTGTGGCTATTGTAAAGAGTGATGTTTTGGGCTGGAGAGATGACTCAGAGGTTAGGAGCACTGGCTGCTCTTCCAAAGGTCCTGAGTTCAATTCCCAGCAACCACATGGTGACTTACAACCGTCTGTAATGAGATCTGGTGCCCTCTTCTGGCCTGCAGGGATACATGCATGCA